TTCTGGAATATATAAATTGATTGATTGAATGGTGTTCAACGCCACTTTCAACAATGTTGTGGTTTTTCGTGGCGGTCAGTCTTTATTGGTGAAGGAAACCGGAGTGCCCGGAGGGAACCACCGACCTGCGGTAGGAAAACTGACAATCCTAGTCAATTAGGATTGGAGTCGAGTGCACCTCCCCCGTGCGGGATTCGAACGCACAAACTCAGAGTTGACAGGCTAGTGATGCAGTAGTTCGACTACTTTTTTTTCTCCTGCGTACTTAGACCACTCGGCCACCGAGGCCCCTGTAATATACATAGATAATCGTCGTGTTAACATTGCGTTAATCTATAGCCGCCTTTGAACTGTCGTGGAAATATTTGAAAAGCATAGCGTACCACAGTCATGTAATTTGTTACAATCATTCAGGTATAAAAAAAAATGCATTTCCTTATACACTTAGCTTCATTACGCAATTGTAATTTAAAGGCCTTAATATTAAAATATGTTTGGAATCAAAAGAAAAAAGTAGAGCTCTGAAATTTAAAAGAAAACACTTCTAACGCTTTTCGATGCCTAATGCGGAGAAATATATGCTTACATGTAACAGTCCAGAGCACATGAAATCAACCCGTGATTTTGTAGGATGTGTTTTGCTCAGTCTTTTCGTATATAGTTTTGTAAAGTGGTGTATGTCTTTTCGTCGTTATAATGTTGTTTTTTTTTTGCCATGATTTTGTCAATCCCTTTACGACTTCCTTATATCAAACATGCGCTAATTATTATGTAGATTGATTAGCATATGTTAACTTTAATGTAGGTTTATAACATCACCGTTTAGCGAGTTTCACTTGCTTATTGTCGTATTAACATCATCAGTTTAAAACGAGTGGTAAACACATTGTATGATAAATATACTTTTTCGGGGATTGTTATTTGTTTTAAGCTATTATATATTCTTTACGTAGAAAAATAAAAAGAGCAGATTCTCCTCAACGCACATTAGACATTTCAAATAAATTTACAAAATTCATAAAAGGAATAGCAACATGATGTTATAAATTCCCAACTGTATGAACAGAAAGAACAAAACAAAATTACTACTCAATCCGTATAATTTTTTTTTCTTCGCGGAGATTTTTAATATGATAAAGGCATCCACGATTAATTCATGTTTCAATTATTTTTATTTTGTTACAAATAAAGAGAAATAGATGTAAAATAAACCAAATGAGGTCTAATATATGCTTGATTGTCCCACAAGGCGACATACAAAAAAAATATTTGTTTTAACAAATACAACTGATGATAAATAAAAAAATACACAATTGAAAACTTTTCGTCGTACATACACGCCTCAAGATATGTTTGCAAAGCTTGAAACAGTTTTGGTACATGACATACATTGAAATGATACATTGTATATCAATACATAATTCACAAAAAAAAAGAAGATAAAAGTGACTTTATTTTGTTACGCTGTAATTTATTGGTATTGCCGAAGTTTTTGAAATGAAATTTACGCAACGTTTGGAAATTTAAAGGTTTTATGTTAATACCTATTACATAATTGGTTTTACAATACAACTTAATTGAAACGGTGTGAAACAAACTGACGATATATTTCGTGAAGAAAAGGTGTTTCAAAGTAGAAAGGTTTGTCGCACTAGTGTTTGTCATGTGGTCCAGCATTAAGGAATTAAAGCTTACCGTTATCACATGTTTCACCATGCCATCCTTTTGCACATTCTCCATTAGAACAAAGACCATTGAACTTGTTGCAAGGTACAGTGCGACAGTTACATTCCTTTGCACAGTCTTTCCCAAATTTCCAATCCTCGCATTCTACAGATACAAAATAATTATATGTTATACGAAAAATTTTAATCGAATTTGTAATGTGTTGACACATTAAAGTTATACTTCTATTTACTAGAACTCCTCTTCCCGCCCCAAAATAAAGATGAATAATAGATGAAAAAAATATACATTCATACAATAATTATTTGTACAAGTTTGGTTATATTGTCGCGTCTGATTTACCAATACATATTTCGGAATACAATACTTGGACCTATCCATTTAATCTTTAAAGATTTCATCCAAGCTTTTTCTTTTGTTGAAGTTCGTGTTGATCAATATCAGTATCTCCTTTCTTTGTGTAAATATGTCAATTTGAGTTGTCCTAGAATCAACTGAATGATAGGTAAGAATCCATTCATAGATTTGTAAATTGGAATACATGTGTAGCCTTTGTGCATGACATAATTAAGATCGTATTTCAAAGTGGCAATAATTGTCGTCTTTTAAAAAAAAACATTGCCCATTTAATGATTTGTTTATAGCTACATAATTTCATTTTAACAATAGTTTCGTCTATCACAAGTGATGACCAGTTGTCTGGCGACTCTGTTTATACATACCCTGATTGCAATTTTGTCCTTTGACAAAACCTGGCTTACATTCACTCGAATTATTGCAAACGCCGTTAACTTTGTCACATTGGTTTGATATGCATCCAAAACAGGTCTGCGAACAGTTAATACCAAAATACCCAACGTCACATTCTACAATGAAAACATTATCTACTAGTAATGAAAGTTTTGCCTGTTACTGAGAATAAGGAAATTACTGCCTGCATTTATTCACGAGATTAATGAAAAGAATGTTTAGATAAATGTTTAATTTTGACAACTGAGAGTCGAGTTGAGACATTTAAAAAAGGGATCAACTCAAAGTATGATTTTACAGTTAACAGTACATAACCATATTTGACATAAGCGGTCATCTCAGACGATTTTAATTTTGAAATTATAAAATCCCCCCTCCTCAGCAGCAATATACCATCTTCATTTGCATATGGGATATACATTTCTTAACTCATTCGGTATTCAAGAGATTGTAGCTGTTACTCAGACTTTATAAAACGTCATCACTGAACAGACAATTAACATTATCTAAAATTTAATTATCTTATTTCTGTTTGTTATCAAATAAAAATAGATAAAAAGAGTCATTATGCTAACATCAGCATTTTCTAAACATAAAAGATTCTTTTATTATTTCAGATATATTTCTAGTAACACAAATTCTGATGACAGACGGTATCAAACAATATATAATATTAATAATGTGTACTGCTGTATCCCGATTTTGAACATTTTTACCTATCATGTCTGTTTGTTTTGTTCACACATTGTTGTCAATATAATGGAATTTTATGCGACTGTCATACAAGTGAGAGGTTTAGCTAACTATACAACTAGGTTCAATCCACCATTTTCTAAATAAGAAAATGCCTGTACAAAGTCAGGAATATGACAGCTGTTATCCATTCGTTTAATGTGTTTGAGCTTTTGATTTGAATTTTCCTCGGAGTTCGGTAATTTTGTTATTTTACTTTAGATTAATTTCGATCAGTTTGCCAAAGTCAGAAGGAAGAAGGCAAAGTGATAATATAAAAATAAGAGGCGAACAAAAATGACACTAAAATAAAACCAAGAATATTGTAGATTTGCATTGTTGAAGGCAATCTCTATGATTCAAAAAGAAAAAGATTAACAAATTGTGAAGTTTGCTTTATAACAATGCCAAAAATCAAATAATAATGCATTTGTAATAATCTCAAGAACAGTGCGTCTTTAAAGCAATGTATTACATAGATACATCTCAGGTGAAATTTTGAATTTATTAATGCGGATTGCTTATACTTGAAAATAAATTGAAACAATTATGCATGATAAGCATCAAGCCAATAAAACAAACCTTTTGTACAATGGTATCCTTCCCATCCTTCATTGCAACCTCCAGTACACTCGCCTGATACGTGATGACATGGTTCATTTAAGCAGTTTGCAGAACAATGCCTACTACATTTACTTCCGAAGTTTCCATTAGCACAGACTGTAGAAAAATATGGTTAATTTAATGTTGTTATCGAAACATTGTGTCATTTAAGCAATTAAAAAACTGTAAAATGATTCTTTAAAACACGAACACTTTATATCCTAGAGTTTATTCATTTTACTTTTGCCGAGAAGCAATGTTTTATCAAATTGTGTTTATAATCCATGTATCATACATACACGTGTCAAGAAACAAACATGTTTAAACGATGCAAAGGGACTATGCTATTTCGAAGTTTTGTTTTAAATAAACGAATGATATCTTTCATATTTTGGTAAATGCTGAACAATTTCGGCTTATAATTTTCACCATGAATAGTGTAGCTATTTGGCTTCCCTTTTTCCATCAACAATGTTTTTCATTTAAGTCGAAAATGACTTTGTTTGGAGTTAGCTGTCATTAATCATTCATTATATACTATATTGCCCCCTTTAATCAATCCATAGATGTGCAAATGATAAAAAAATATGTTCAGCTCTAATATGTGAGTAGAGGATATATATTGAGAAAACTGCATGACAGGATTTTACAATAACACTAATATATTTACCAATGTCACATCGATAACCAATCCATCCATCTAAACAACCAGATGTACAATTTCCTGTAACTAAGTCACATGGTCCGTTACAGTGGCAAAACTTTTCACAATTGTCTCCGTATCTTCCTAGGGGACACCCTGTAGACAACATGAAACATTGGAATTAATATAAAATCCGTGTTTGATCTAGGTAGTTTACTGTGATAAATATCTGTTTGCGACAAGATCATGCATGATATAAAGATATATAATCGGTTTTAAAAGGCTTGTACTTCGTATATACAAATTATGATTATATTCTGTGATTGAAAACATTCTTTACTGATTTTATCTGTTATATATCCTCCTAAGTTCTTAATTGTTCGAATATTGTGCATGACTCTGAAACTTGAATAAAAGAAATAGTAGTAGTGAGCATGAAAATAGCAGCATATATATGGCAATTATCTGAAAAATGACAAAATCTCATATGTCAGTTTTTGTGTACTAATTTTTTAGATGAAGTAGAATATTATGTTTATAACAAAATTTGCTTTACCGCCAATTTCAAATTCACACACATCAACTTCACTTGCTGCAGGTGGCACATATATAATATATCTACAAACGGCATATACATTAATATCCTTAGTCGGACGTTCACCCTTATATAGCAGAATGCCATTATCCCAGGAATCACTGGTATTGGAACAGTATACTATATCTTCACCCGTTGTTACTTGTGTATCTGTAAGAAATAAGCATAAACTAACATCCTCGTATATATTAGATTGTGTTATCCCGTTTGTAATAAGTTTTCTAAAGGTACAGTGAAACTTCTATGAAATATGTGTGTTTATGGGAAAATTTAGTTAATGTTTTTGCTATCGAAATCCTCGACTAAATAGTTTACCAGTAATAGAATAAAAAGATTACGTTCATTGAAATCCAAATCGTCACTACAGGCACGGGCTGAGCAAGTGAAGTGGGATTTATAAACACCGTTAGATGGGATCAAAGGAATAAAGACGGTAAGTCAATTACCTAATTTATTAACTACAGTCGGTACACCTCGACATATTTAGTTAGATCTACCGAATTGTGCCGTTTTTCCTAAACCATAAATTTACATTCCAACAATGTATCACTTTACAAGAATGAGTACTCAAACTCTGGGTACATGCAACAATGCCGTATTCTGATTAATAACAGCTTGCCCAATTGTCAGTAGTAATATAATGCTTACTTACTATTGTCTAATAAATGTTAGAATAACTTCTTACCACCAAATGTGAAATAAACTGTAGTTACAACACTCAAAGATCCAGTGTCGACCTGTAGGTGAGAACCTGATCCGATTGTCATGGAGCACAGACCCTTTGTCCGGTTACCATCAATGGCCAAACTTGCTGGATGATTTGGTTTAGGTTGATTTTGTGTGGCTGTCCCATTTGAAGCTAAATTATCTGTGACATAAATAATTTTATCAATATTGTATGATAACTTTGTCGTGAAAATTCGTTTGTTTTACATTAGCGTAACCAGCATACAGGTGCTTTATTCAAACATTTTTAATTTTAAGCAATACTATTTGACAATTAAACAATGAAGAAAATTGAAGAAAAAAAATTAAACATACAAAACAAAACACAGAACACAAAATAACGTTTAAAACAAAATAACAAAATATAAAAAATTCATGTACAAGTTAAAGTATATTGTAATTGCAGTTTGACTTTCAATTTTAATAAGTTAAAATCGAAATAAGATATACATGTCCATTAAAGAATTTCAACAGATTCCAAAAGTCAGAATTATAGAAAGCTAACTATCATTCTATTATTCTTTCAAATTATTTTTCAATTTAATAGTAACCACTACTTGCTTTCTAAAACGAAATTAGAAGAAAACACCTACATTTGTTACAGTACTGTCCAGCTCGTAATGCTATGCATCCTTCAATACAAGCACCTGTATTTATATCACATTTGTTATTAAAACAGTTATGTTTGTCACATCCCCAGACACAAGAACCGTTTTGAGGATAACAATAATTGCTTATGCATGTTGCTGGACATGATTTCGTGCAGTTTGTGCTCCATGAACCTTTGAAGCAGCCTACAATACAAAATATTTTAGTACTGATATGTACAAACACATTCATATATCATATACAAGTCTAAATTGAAAACAACGTTCAAACCATATAAGTTTATAACCTCAAAAAAAAACATCTTCCTTCCAATCTGACTGATATTCATATCTTGTGTCATTGCATTGCTAGCAAACAATCTAACAAAAAAAGTGAAATAACAAAAATACCGAACTCCAAGGAAACTTCAAATCGGAAAGTTACTTATTAAAAACTCAAACACATAATACGAATAGAAAACAACTGTTATATATCTGACTTGGTACAGAAATTTCCTTATGTAGAAAATGGTGGATTAAACCTCTCACTTGTATGCCAGTCGCATAAAATTCCAAACGATCAGTCTGATATAGAATTCTGAAAATATTTGCGGACATGACTTATACCAGTCCAATGTTTAACAATAATATCCGGGAAATAACTTTTTTCGAGACACTCCTTGATAACTATGGTATAACATGGAACATCCGATCCTCCGTATATACGACGAAGAATATACGTCAAATGAACTAGACATATATTTACAAAGAGTGTGGTTATGTAAATAAAAAAGTTCTTAAATTGAATCTGCACCTGTTACATTGTACATAAAATATTAACTTATTGCGTATTATTGGACGACTTATGCTTATTTCCATTTAAATCAAACATGGGAAGATACTGTGTGTTTTGCTCAATGACATGATAATAATAGTGACGTACAAAGAGTATACAATCAGTGCTCATGACATGACAGGTTGAAGCTGCAACTAGTCGAATTACTTCGGGTTATATTTTCATTTTTCTATAATTTGAAATCATCAATTATTTCAACATTCTCTTTTTAAACGAATTATATGTTGTGAGTACATTAATAAAAAAAATCCTACACCAACCCTTTACAATAAATGGTTTCCTCTACTGGAAAAGGGATGAGAAGTTTTCATCCCAGGAATTTCATCACAAAACCATTGATTCTTACATTAATAATGTTCTGTAAACGTTTGAATACTTTACCATAGATTGCTACGTAACACAATTCTACGAAGCAAGTTGCACTGGGTCTTCTATTGACGAAATACATATTTTTGGCTAGCATATTACAAGTAATATTCTGAGTAATGTTAGGTTGGCCTTCTATTCCTAAGTCTGTGTAGCACCGATTTGAATCCTTACTTTCATCTGCGGTTCCATTCCCTAGATACAAACGAAACTCATCCATACGTTCTGGGTCTGTAAGAAGGAAACTAATGATAAACAATGTTTAAACCTATTAAGTATAGCTCCACCTAAGAATCATGCAATATGAAGAAAAAGTGATTTACCTTATGTTACCACTGTGCTTCATATTTGGTTATGTGACACATTTTGAGTAAAAATTAAAATATATTCAACCATAATTGTTGATGCCTACTATTAATGTCATTTATACACTAATAAAAATTCAGATGGGCATGTTTTCCTCACTATATAAGCATTGGAAATATGATGGATGTAATAACAAATATCTGCTGTGAACAGGCTATTTGTAGTAAACCATTTAGCATTACAGAAAATATTGAATCTTCCAAACAACATATCAATTTTTTTTTATTTGAAGCCTTGCACCTATCTCAAATTATTTTCATTTTAAATTAACCGCTTTTTCTTACTATTCCAAGAAAGACAACTCATGTTGAACTTCAAAACAAGTAAAAAAAAAATTCATATTGTATTCTGCATCTTTTGAAAAAAAAAACAACAGTTTGAGAAATTGTTAATTTAGTAAAGATTCATTTGTTTATGGTGTTAGATTGGATATATTAATATTTTTTACTAATCATTTTTGTCAAGTGCATCTTGTATATTGTTTACAATTCATCACTTCCGGTTCTGCTTCACTACATGTGGAGGCAAATTTACGATGTTGTTTATGCAGCTTTCTGCAAAATAATTCTAGTTGTGGTCTTTACTAACGTTACTCAAAAGACACAACTCTTATTAAGCTAAGTGTTTGTCACACAGATATGTAAAATATCACTTGAATTAGCTGTTGGACTGAAATTCTGAATGTAGAAATATCGCTGCGTACAACTACAAATTACTACAATCATGAACGAACAACTGAAGAAAGCAGACATGTTAAAAGTGTTATCCCACAGAGAAAGGATTTTTGCTACTAATATTTCACTCAGAGTTTATCCATCACTCTGTATCAAACTTGGTATAGAGTATCGACAGGGTGGAGGTTACTTAAACTTGTTGACATCCTGACCATGAAAGCAAAAGACAAACATTCAGAGGCCTTTCAAGTTTCCATAGACAAAGGATCCTGGAGGAATACAAATATTTGGAAGTGGTAGGTTTAACATGTTTACTTTTTTTATTATTAAATGTGAAGTACAAGTACATTAATAATAGGATTATTATTTTAATTCTTTTTTTTTTTTTTTTTTTTGGGGGGGGGGGGTCTCTATCTACACATGTACATGTAGTATTTGTTCAAATGTTCACTGTGTTTCATGTATGTGACCAATAGCTTTCATGTTGGTCTGGGCCCAGCGGGATCTGTCCCTAAGTCCAATTAAAAAAATATGTGTGTTTCCTATTTCCTTACCTACCCTATAATTCTAAGCTTAGATATACATGTAGGAAGATGTGGTATGAGTGCCAATGAGACAACTCTCCATCCAAGTTACAATTTATAAAAGTAAACCATTATAGGTCAATGTACGGCCTTCAACACGGAGCATTGGCTCACACCGAACAGCAAGCTATAAACGGCCCCAAAAAATTACTAGTGTAAAACCATTCAAGCGGAAAAACCAACGGTCTAATCTATATAAAAATGAGAAACACCTATGAACCACATAAAATGACGACAACTACTGTAATCAGATTCCTGACTAGGCATACATGTGCATGATATACGGTACGGGTACAGTACCTTAAAGTTTTTTTGGTCAATTTTCAAAAAGCACTGTTCAAGTCAGAATTTCTCACACATAGACTCAATATAAAAAAAATTGTAAAATAATTAAAAAAATTCCAACCTACATGTTCATGTACCTACCCCATTTTTTTCAAAGATGTAATCATGGTACATGTAATAGGAAAATTACATACATACATATTATTTTATTTAGCCTAACCCATCCCTCCCTAAAACTTAAATCTACCAGTCCCCATACATTTTATAATTATAATGTTGCAATTGAAATGGAATGCTACCCATGTAGTCATGACAGTTGACTTGTTTGGTTAAATTATTTATTATTACTAAAATAAACCCCCTAAATATTTGAAATATCAAAATAGGAAGATGTGGAATGATTGCCAATGCACAATGTTTTACTAGACATGCTAGAGATCAATTGACAGTCACATAGAAGTAAACAACTTTCTAGGTTACTATCATTAACACTGTACAGCCTTCAACAATGAGTAAACCCATTTATATTGTATAGTAAGCTATAAATAGCCCAGAAATGACAAATGTAAAGCATTTCAAACAGAAAACTAACAGTCTGATTTATATACAATTTATTTTTTTAATAAAAAACAAATATGATATATACAAAGTACATGTACAGAAACAACATGAACAAAGGACATCTGAATTACATGCATTACAGGCTTTGAAGGCAACTATTATTCTTAATATGAGTGAGGAACTGAAATACATACATGTACATTGTATTTACTGTAATTTTTTTTATACATCATGGTGGACATCACTGACTTCATATCACTCTTTACTGTTGCCAGACTCACTTTAAGGAACCTTGGAATTGCATTTGTATTTCACTTTACTTCCTATTCCTAATTAAGCCTGCCCATACAGAAAAAATGATAGGATGGCCAACTGCATTGCTCAACTGGCCGCCAGTTGAACAAACAGTTGAGGGCCAGTTGAGGGCTAGCTGGCAATCAGTTGAGCAAATAGTTGAGGGCCAGTTGAGGGCTACCTGGATTTTTGCCATGCAAATTAGGTAGCCCTCAACTATCAAATGCTCAACTTTATGCAAATTAGTTGATCAAGGTTGAGAAAATATCATAGTTGAGGGCTAGGTGTCCAACAGTTGAGCAATTAGAGTTGAGGGCTACCTGGCTAACAGTTGAAGACCAGGTCATTATAGTTGAGGGCTAGGTGGCCAATAGTTGAGGGCCAGGTCATTAAAAGTTGAGGGCTAGGTGGCCAATAGTTGAGGGCCAGGTCTTTAAAAGTTGAGCATTACATGTATCTGGTCATTGCAAACTGATGACTACACATTGTAGAAAAAATAAATTTAAATTGTGTATTTTATATAGCCAAAATACTGCTGAAAGATCTTAACACACAACAGACTACATGACGGCTTTATCCTTGCTTTTTAAAAGTTATTATCTAGTAAATAAAATCTAGTTAATCCTGCAGCCATATTAATCTTTATGCAAGGAGAAGTATTTAGATATATATTGAAATACTCAAAACAGAAAGTGTTGTTCAACCAGAAAAAAAATTATATATATTTATCTGTCATTTGTGGATAGATGTCTTATTTGCAGTCATACCCCAGATCTCTAGTTTTATACCAAATTCATTAGAATATTCTTATTTTATTAGAAATACTTTCTAAAACAAATTGTCTTAATAATAAAATGAATATGTCTCCTGTCTTACACATTTTGATAATATATAAATTAATACATAAATATATTGTCTCAAATTTTTCTTCACTCTAAAAAGTTAAGAAGACACTTTAAATATCACTATTTTGAACTAAAAGAGCATATACACTTATTCAAAATGGTGGAAATTCTAATCCAATGTACTTACCAAAAGATGTTAACATAAATATGTGTTAAAACATCAATCTTCCTAAATCCAAGAGTCATGTCATCAGAAGAATACACTGCACTATTCAATGTCAATACAGTTATTTGTAACTTTTTGATCTACATCCATTGTAAAATTCATATTTTATTCATGATAGCTAGAAGACATCTTTGCTTGCCATGTGCATGCTCAAGCCCAGTTAAAATTTTAAATGTTTGAGGTTGTTTAGGGTATTTTGACAGTGTGATCCCTTTGAAATTTGCCCCTAATAATAACTGTTAATTACCTTAATCATGAATATTTGATATATCTTATAATAAAAAAAATACTGTTTGTTTTTTTAATTTATCTTTATGTTATGAGTTATAGTTAAGTTAAAATACAGAAAAATGTATAAAAAGATGTGCTTCCCTTAATTTGGCCTCAAACTCTGTGTACATTTATAATAGTACTTCCTGTCTACTTGCATTATACACAGAGATAAATGGAAACCAGATGGCACATAACATTTATATCACCAGCTCATATTTCTAATTGCTCAACTTTTGCTCAACTATATGAAAAGTTAAACCAAAGATCAATTGCTCAACTTTTCCTCAACTACAAAAAAAAATCAAAGTCTGAATGCTCAACTTTTCCTCAACTACAAAAAATTCAAAGTCTGAATGCTCAACTTTTGCTCAACTATATGAAAACCAAAGATCAATTGCTCAACTTTTCCTCAACTTAATGACCAGCTTCAGTTGAGGGCCAGTTGAGCGACATCTATCAAACATACAGTGCTTGGCCAGGTTTGAGTTGAGCTAAGATGCTCAACACCTAGCCCTCAACTATTTTGCTTAAAACAGCTAGCCCTCAACTGTCCGCCACATGGCCCTCAACTGGCCCTCAACTTTTTTTTCTGTAGGGGTGATACAAACAAAAATATTTTTTGAGAAAAGGTATGAATATGAAAAACAAGATGTGGTATGATTGCCAATGAGACAACTATCCACAAGAGACCAAATGACACAGAAATTAACAACTATAGGTCAACATACGGCCTTCAACAATGAGCAAAGCCCATACCGCATAGTCAGATATTACAGGCTTACAATGAATGAAGATTATTCTATATTTATACAATTTTTTTGTTTTGCTTTATTCAAAAATCTTATGAATATTAACTTGTTTTTAAGGTATCTAAAATGTAGCTGCTACCAGTGCCATTTAAAGTTACCAGAGCAGAAATTTAAGTTAAGGAGAAAGTGATACACAAGGTAATTTACCAATAGAAAAATATTTTTTTTAAAGGTATTGATAATTTTTATATCAGAGAATTTACTTGTCAAAACAAATAGAGAAATGTTAGTAGATTGCGCCACTTTTCTTCTCCTGTATACACTTTTTCAATGCCTTTATTTTACTGCACTGATACTTTTGATTTCTATACACA